ACCTATACAAACACATATACACAGAAATTCTGGCATATCCGGGGTTCAGGCATCAGAGATCCCACGAGCATGCCAGCCAGTGCCCCTCCATGTTCTTACCGAAGCCCGAAGACTTGAAGTACAGAGGCTCATTGTAATCCCAATAAGCCTTCACATAAACCCTGTTCCCATGTCATGGTCCAGTCCCTTTTCTTTTGATTCTTCAACACTCCTTGAGAACGGGCTTAGCACTTTGTATGATCCGACCTCACTGATTTGACAGGCCGCGAATTGAAGTTAAATGGCAGGCCCTGGACCAGAAAGTGTGGACAAGATGTTCGATGAATATTCTACCCAAGGGCTCCTGTACAGTTGTGTCTTTCGGCCAGGGTTTCAGAATATTACCCGATGAGGAATTATGGAGGAGGATCTGAGTAAACCGTAAACTGCCCTAGACCCTAAACCCTAATCCCTGAACCCTGAAGCCTGAACCCTAAACCCTAAACCCTGCCCCCTGAACCTTAAACCCTAAACCCTAAACCCAACTTTGAAACTTCAGGTCTGAGCTTGCGTCCGGAAATCTGTCTACTCCAAGAGCACCCCTACACTCCTGAATGGTAGTTTGGTGAAATATCAGGGTGCCCTAACAACATCCTGTTGTGACACCCCTGTTTCCCCGCGAGTCCTTTCTTCAAGCACCAACTTAACACCATGCTCTCCGTAAACGGTGCAGAGCAACCCAGACCCCTGGAAGGATCTAGAAAGTACATCCTCCTTAAGGGTTCCTAGGAATTACCCAATGGTAGTATAGGGTACCATATTTGGGGTTCAACTTTCCAGATCCTCCCAGGGGTCTGGGAAAGGATCCTTATCCAACACCCAGGTCGCGGCCGCTATACCTCAGCAGACGGCGTCACGCGTGAGGGCGAGTGGATTGAGGGCAAGCGTAGGCGATGGCTCTCGGGTGACGATTGAACCCAGGTTCGTTTCCACACAGGCTTCGCGGTGGCAGCCGTAGAAGCAGTAGCAGCCGCTAGCAGCAGGTGACGGCGGCTACGGTGGTGTAATTAGCAGTAGTAGAAGTAACTAGTAGTGGTATAGTAGCAGGTCGAAGTCGTTGAGGTAGGTGCCTCGCAGCCATCCTTGGAGTTTCTTGATAAGATCTATGGTCTAAGCTCCTCAAAGGGGGTTTATGAAGGGGATTATATAAGGGAGTATTATGGGGGTTACTAAGCAGGGTTCCTATGAGAACCCCAGATCTTGTGAACCCCTTTTTTCGAGATTGGTGTTTAGACCGCCGTAGACCAATTCTAAACCCTAAACCCTAAACCCTAAGTATCCGAGGCTTACAGTCATCCCGTGGTCTGTTTCACGGTTCTTCTCCTCGGTCCGAAACTTTGGGGGACCCGAAGCAAGCTAGACTCAGCCACCGAAGCGAATGTAATGTAGAGTTTCAACAAAACCCGAAGGGTCCAAGGACCCAAATAATACCCTCAACCCCTATTATTTGTGTCCTTGGACCCTTAGGGAAATGCACGGTCCCCTGGCGTTTCAGTAGAAACCGCTTTCTGCGAATCTCATCTTGCTGGCAGACAGGTCGCCACCACAACTTTTCCATTGCAGGGGGTGGCTTTCGCCTTGAGGAACCACCAACAGCTCATAGACTAAGCTTAAGCCTGAACTGGACCCTGACTGCCCGAATTTGTTTATGGGCTTGAGCCCTATGCCCTAAACCCTAGAGCACATAATATGACCTGACCCATGAAGTACGTAAAGTCTTCAAGGTGAAGGTACATAAGTCATAGGGTTGGTCTTGAAATTGGGGGTAGCTTTACAGGTTTCCAGAATCCCTAAACCCTGCAAAATTGTAGGCCTAAACCCTATAGCACCCGAAGCCCTAAGCCTTATAACACCTAAGCCATAAATCCTAAAGCCCTAAACCCTATACTACTCTAGGCCCTAAACCCCATCACACCCTAAGCCCGATAACGCAGTAAACCCTAAACCCTTATTCTATAGAATCTCTGCCCATCTCAGCCTCCGAGACTTTAGGGGTCCAAGGGTTTAGGATGCACCTTTCCTTGGGCCATAAGCTTATATGGGGGTTTCCCAAAATTAGGGGGTACCTTTTTTGGGATCCCTATGATAAGGACTATAGTATATTGGGGGCTATACTGGGGTACCCTGATTTAGGGAAATTACCATGTGGAGTTTTTAAAGTCCATGGAAACTACCGACTTTGGGCTGGTTGGAGTTTTTATAGGTTTTGCCCACTATGACTCTAGCTAGAATGCCGGAGTGAAATCCCATATTCCTCGCTTGCCATGTCTGGCTTGTTTATCTCAACGCAGTACCCGAAAATTTTGTGTGGAATAGCGCATGAATCCCCAAACCCTTGAACCTTTAATCCTAAACCCTAAACCCCGAGGGCCAGGGCGTAGAATATTCAGGCAGCCGGACTTCCATGTTTGTTTCTGGCCTCCCCGGCACCCTAAACAGCAACCTTGTGAGCCTAATGTAGCCCGTGATTACTGAACCCCTTCTTTTTGAGGGCCTTACTTAATATTAGGATCCTTACTATAGTCCCTATGAAGGGGAGGGCTTCATTACTGTCATCACGGATCTCAATTAGTTGGTTCCTTGTGGCTGGGACAAATGATGTCATGCACGCGGCCGGGCGGTAGTGCCCGCGGAACCCTGATTGTACAGTAGCCCTGGGGATCCAGCTAACCGACTAATACGAGCTGCAGCTACCGAAAGCATAGTAGATGACGGCAATGTTGGTACCCAAACCCACTACGTACATGTCTCGAGGGTTCCAAAGACGCAAGTATGTTTGTTCTAGCTGACAAAATAGCAAATCTCAATGACTGCTCGTACCTAAGGCCATCCTATTCGGATCCTTGGACGCTCAAGGTGCGGGTACTGGGCATAGGATGCCGAAACAAAAGTATTCAGCATCCAGCAAATCACATAGATTCTGCATATTGGTTGGCTCAGACGACTTCTCACACCTCTCGGAGGATCTAGAAAGCAGTGCACCGTAATAGTAGTGTAGGGGCCTCCAATTTCTAGATCCCCCTAGGGTTTAACTCCCCTCCAAGCCCTTAAGTTACTGGGGGTTAGCAAGGAAGATGGGAATATAGCATAGGGTTTAAGGTTTATGGTTAGCAGGGAAGACTGGAATATGTTGTACAGGAGTTATATCCGTAATATATTCCCTTATTCCCCACTAAGAACCAGCGAATTAAGCTTGCCAGCTTATCACTGCATGGCATGATGCATGTGATCCGACAGCAAGGAGCTGATACAAAGCCCTGCGCCGAAGGCTTCATGCGGACTTGGGATTTGTGGTTGTGAGTCTGTAGTTTGCCGTGGGACCTTCCCCAGGTTCATGTTTCGGCCAAGATTCTGTTTCGGCTTCAATGAGCGGATATCGTGCTGGACCTGCTGGTTTGTGCCGGTTATCTCTCCAGCAGAAACACGAACTGAGGAAGGCATATACTAGCTGCATCACCCCACTCCAGCCAAGTGTTGGAGAGTAGTTGCGTGCATCATGTGTTTGCATACAAAATGTTCAGAAGTCTGGCAGTACACGCAGTTCGTGACACCAGCCACTCCGAACGATCCCTTGGCTTTGGGGAAATGCGATATGTGCCATGACTGAGCCATTTGGCTCCAGAAAGGGTCGTGTGACATGAGCCCAGTAGTTGCGAGGGCGGCACATGGTTAACTTGTTGGCATTCTTCTGTATCTTAGCACGTTAACACTGTCGGGCCTTCTCTCTTTCAGATTAAGTGAGCTAACTTCGAGATTTTCAGTGAGGTTTTAGAGTACGCAAGTAAACTTAGTAAACAAACTTAGGCCAGGGCCCCGGTTTAGGGTTTAGCCTTACCCTTGCACGGTCTGAATCCTCAAGCCCTCGGCCTCAAGCATCAACCAGGACCCTCCCTGTCCCCTTAAGTATAGAGGTATATTGTCCCCAATGTTGTGGGAAGCCCTATAAGCTTAAAACTCATTATCCCATGCCGTGATTCGCCAGCTTTAACTGGGGAATGGTGTAAGACAGTCGGAATTCTTTTCTATGAATATTCAACCAGATCGAGATATGAAGCTGTGAATTCCATAGAATGCCAGAGGAACCAACTGAGCGCGTGAAACTGCTCTGTAACCCGGACGCAGCCCCGTGTCCATGGACCGGCCGAACTGCTAAGATGGCTGATGATGTCCGAAGCATCTGGTTATTGCAGTCAAGTGAGCTATAGTCTAAACTCCTTAAAAGGGGGTTGCATAAGGTGGATTCTTAAGGGAATATTATATAGAGGTTATCAAGGAGGATATTGGGAATTTAGACAATTGGCTCAAGTGGTGTGTCTTCATGTCGGGAGTTGGTCGGACGGAAGATTTGGGATGTTGTCGAGGACGCCTGCTATGAGAAGTCCTTCAGAGGGCGGTTGGGTGTCAAGAGTGTTCCATTAGCATGTGTGCAAGCCTGACTCAGCTCGGCGTAAGCCATCCTTTCGTCGTGAGAAGGGCATATTATGGTACATGATGCTTTATTATAGTATACTACCCTCAACCCTATAAACCCTATATGGAAGGTATGACTTTTCCACGTTTGCGCATCCTTGCTCAGACGAGGTCCTTCCAACAATTGCTAATACTACTGGGCACGATGTGGAGACCATGGCATGCTCGGCGTCGCACAAAGTCATGCCAGAATTCCTCACTGTTTGGAATTACATCCTATACCCTAAACCTTAAGACGTAAACCTATTCCAAGCTTGTGAATCATTAGCGCGCAGCTTGAGATCATCGACCCACAGCCTGACATCGTCAGGTATTCTTTAGGTGCGCACTGACCCAGTAAGGACTCCATAATGGCAAGTACGTGGTATATGCGCAGTGGAGACTTAAGCTTTAGGATTTGTAGTGCGGTGACTTTTGCACCACAGCCTGCAGCCTGAATTGGTAGTTTCTAGTAAGAGGGGACGCCAATACCCCAACATAGACACTGGAATATGACCATCCTTGTTATACGGACACCCACACACCCCGGAAAAAAAAAGGAGACACCCAAGTCTCGAGGCGTCCTGTCCTTGCCCTCCATCGCCGATATCATCGTCCATGGAGATCGCCGGGACCGCGTTCATTACTTGGTTGGAGTGGCTGTGGCGTCCATGCTGCTGGGATCTGATGATACTAACAGTAGTAGCAAGCATAATGAATAAGAATGGAAATAATATTGTACCCCAAAAAAGTTGGCACTGAGGGTTTAGGGTTTAGGGCCCTGGGGGGGATGTAGGGATTCATCTGTTTGAAATTGCAATGCACTTTAGTATCCTCGCACTATTGATATACTCCTTCGCTCGACGCTACTCGGCAGAACCCTTGAAGCGTAGTTGCCTATCCAGTAGGCTTTGGAGGATAGGGTTTAGGGCTTAGGCGTTCAAGATCATGTGCACCGCGTGGCTTTGTGTGCTATAACTTATGTGATCGTGTATAGAACAAGAGCATCCAAAATAAAGAGCAGTCATCCTTGTCATACTCGACCAGGTCTCTATCTACAGGTATCTTAAGGGGTAGTTGGCATTTGAGGGTTGCTTGGCCTCCCACTTCAACAACACTCTACCCTTCAGATACTTTACCTGGGTTCGTTGGAGATCACAGGTTGTGCTCCCTGGTGTTCTGAAGGCGACCCTGGGAGAGTACACCACACAAACACTTCGAACTGCTACTCTACACGTCTACCCTCCACGACACAGACATGGAACCCCATAATCTAGACTTGTCGTCAAGAAGCTTGTAGTTCTGTTTAGGACCCTCTGTGGTTTTGATGTTTGTTTGGGAGAACAGCCCATGGTCCCATAGGCTTGCAGTGTAGTGTTCTAGAGAACGCTGGTGTTGCTGCCGAGTTTGAAGGTAACAGCCCATAATTACTCCCATCTGATTCTTCTTCTAGGGAACTCAAATATGCCGACCTACTTCGTGTTTACCTGGAGTTACTCATGGGTTGGGGAAAGTGCTGCAAAACAGTGTTATAGTGGCCTTATGAGGATGCACCATATGACCTAACGCTTTGACGAAGCTCCTAAGGTTCATGGATTCCTCTACCACCCCCTCTATAATACCTCCCTTAGGTTCCCCCATGAAATAAGCATGTTTAGGGATAGTTAGGCCCAATCTTAAGCCAGGTTCTAAGCCCTCAACTCCTAAACCTTAAGCAAGTTCCTCTAAACCCTAAACCCCTAAACCTTAAACACACTGTGACAAAGCTCAAGAGGTTCTTGGGTGCTACAGCCTTCCTCTGCTTGAGCCACCAACGGGAGCTCCTCTTGGCTCCAGCACCTTCGCGTTCATACGGGATTCCATGTGGAGGGTTTAGGGGTTTGGGGTGTTTAGGCCGGACCCTATACCCTAAACCCGCACAGTAAGCACCCTATAAGAGTCAGACTATATGCCTCTTGGATAAGACTCAGGATTTGAAGGGGCAGGTCAAGTGGGGAAGACTCTGTATGCCCTAAACCCTAAACCCTCAGGACGAGGGTTCATAATTCAGATTCCAGGTCGACATCCCGCGTGTGTTTCTTTTCAGACCGCTGGGACAAGCTAGAATCTAGAAAGAATATATAAACCCTAGACCATCATGAAATTAGGTGACATCTAGGAGCCCTTGGTGGAATTAACCGCAGCGTAAGCATTTGAGCCGCCACCCCCGAAATGCCGGACGCCTTGCTGCCAGGACCCAAACAGGCACCCCCATACGAGAGAACTTCCCTAAAGGTGCGTGCATGCCGATGCAGCCGTCCAGGTAGCCTAATTATTGAGGCGCCCCAGGTAGCCCAGGAACACCAAGCCATAAACCTTAAAACCCTCCAATCTTCTCGACCCTGAGCCCTAAACAATGTGTGTAGCATTATTCTTGGGGAGTCTTGTTCCCAACACAGGGGTTCGATCCTCCGGGACAATATTGTTTTATGAGAAGACTAGAAGTTGTGTCGGTTCAAACACCACTCCCTGAAAGCACTACTAAGGTTAGCCCCAGGCGGAAGTACTACATTCTAATGCATTTGTTCCCCTTCGTGGTGGCCTGCTCCTGCTGGTTTCAGGCAGGTTGAAGCCGGTGGAGGCTTATCAAAGTAAAATTTCGAAATTCGTTGATGGAGACACCCCTGAAGGCCAACCGTTCGAGAACCGTAGCCCCACGTCTTACAATATCCCTTCAACTAAGGGCCCCCCGTCTTGAAAGCTTGGGAAGCTTTAGGAGGTTTTGGGGCGTCGAGCGTATCAAGTTTGAAAACTTTTGTGGGTCGTGCCTAGGATGTTCGGCCATGACAGATCCCGCCAAAACCTTTAGACCCGAAGCCCCGCCCTAAACCGCAACTTAATGTTCTAATCCCTGCCGAAGCACTAAACCCTCCACCTGAAATCATCCAGCCTTTTTCAGGCTCGGAAAGGTTTTTGGTCTTTTGGTGCTGATTCGGATATGGTTGCTTCAAAGACTAAGCACAGGCCTTTCTTGGAAGTCCAGAAAATATGGATTATTGCGCATTGGGTTCTAGAGTGGCCCCCCCTGTATTCATGGAAACCCAATTGCGCTTCCAAGCACGGATGCACCCATGAACCAAAGTCAGCAGGACTTTGTCCAAATTAAGGACTAGCCTCAAGGTTCCTTTGACAGGGACCGTCGCAAAGGGCAACTGTTAAAATCACCTCGTATGGACCGTCATGACTCAATGACCCAATTATGAATCCATGCGCCCTAAGCCCGAAGCCCTAAACCTTAAACCTCAAACCCCCAGCCCTAAACCCTAAACCTTACTCATCCGTTTCATGTCATTAGAAAGGGGATCCTCGAAGCCTAGGACTTCCTTAGGCCACGGGGTTTAGGGTTGGGGGTTTAGGTTGAGGTTTCAGGGTTTCGGGCTCAAGGTCCTAAATCCCAACCGCAACGGATTACGCCCTACACCCATCCCTAAGCCCAACACACTTAACCCTGAGCCCTGGACCCTGAACCACAGCTCTGTAACCCCAAGCCCCAGGCCCCGAGTCCTAAGCCCTAACCCCGAAATTTAAAATCCCATAAGCCCTAAACCCCAATCCTTAAACCTAAAACCCTTTAAGCCCTCAATCCTAACCCCTAAACCTTAAACCCTATAAGCCCTAAGCGCTAAACCCCAAACCCTTAATGTTAAACCTTCCGGTAGGTGGCGGCTCCTGAGCTTGCAGTGGGCACGCTGCTGCTACAGGAAACAGCAATGCAAGGAGGCTAGCTAGGCAAAAAAAACAACTGTGGCCAGCCCATAACCTATGTTCATATACATATATATATATGTATCTCATCTAAATTTCAAGAATAAACATACCGACAAGAATGTTCTAAGCTTCCAAATACTTACCTAGCACATGGCTTGCCTAGCACATGTGGACGTCGTCATCTTCGTTACTGTGCTCCATAGATCCCAGCATGAGGCTTGCCAAGACCCTGAGTGCCTCATACAATGGGAATTCTAAAATTCTAGAAGACTAAGGCCCTGCAGGACTGTCAATCTCAGCTATAGCTCTGGGGATTCCAATCTTTAATGCATGAAGAGGGCCTCAAGTTCGCACACCCTAAACCCTAAACCCTAGGCCCAGTACCTACTATGAGCCGCCTGGGTCCCTAGGGTAGGAGATAGCAACATCAAGCTCCTGCATGAACACAAGTAGACCTCCTTTCGCAGAACGAAAGGATTTGGGTTTATTCGGGCGTTGGCTCAAAGTTTGTTCTCTGTTGTCATAAGCAGTAGTATTCAGGGAATTCATATATAGATTATATATATATATGTATGCAGGGGCTTGTCTGAGACATGCGCACCCCACTATTATCTTTAACACCGTTTAACACCGTTATGCTCTTGTTCTCCTCTTCACTCTCTCTCGCAGCTGCTGCCCCTGCTGCAGTAGTGTTGTTTCTCCGGGCACTGCTGAAAGGTAGTTGTCAATGAGTATAAGTCTCTGTCGAGCCTCGCAAGTTGCTAAAGCTCTAAGCCCCAGATCCTAAACAATCCTAAACCCTAAATGCTACGCATTGAGCCCTAAACTCGGAACGGCCTTGCACTTAACTTCTCCTTAGGACTTAACTGGGACCTTCGACCCTTAACCCTTTGGGATTCCGGCACCTAAGGGCTAACCGTCAGCGCCACGTCCCTAAACCCTAAACCCCTAAACCCCCTAACACCCCTAAACCCCTAAAACCCTAAACTCCTAAAACCCCTAAACCCCTAAACCTCTAAAGCCCCTAAACCCCTAAACCCAAGTAGTTTCCGTTTTCTTTTTCCATGATCCCTATATAACTTCTGTATTATCTAACCCTAGTAGTTTCCCTTTTCTTTTCCATGATCCCTATATTACCCCTATATTATCTAAACCCTGGTAGTTTCCATTTTCTTTTCCATTATCCCTATATTACCTCCTAACCCCTAAAAACGTGGAAAGGAGATCTGCTTAAAACCCTAAACCCCTAAAACCCCTAAACTCTACACCCCTAAACCCCTGAACCCCTAAAGCCCCTAAAACCCCTAAAACCCTAAACCCCATAAGCCCCTAAAAGCGTGGCAAAGGAGATCTGGGAGGCTCTAGCCCTGCACTTCTTCGCTTTAGCCATCATTGACCTCATGGGAGGCTGGGGGTGGCCCAGGGGTTAGGGCTTAGGGGTGTTTAAAAAGGGCTATTGGGTTCAGGATGGTTCTAGTGTTTAGGGATTTAGGGTTTAGGGGTTCAGGGATTTAGGGTTTAGGGTTTAGGGATATGGGGACCCCACGCCCTGGCCTTCAACACTTGAACCCTAAACCCTAGAATAAGGGTTTGGGGTTTGAATCGTAGTCTGGATCATCTTGGCTGGCTCGAAATATTCAGGCAGTCGCCTAGAGCCTTATACTCGGCCCTACCATTTTTTGAGGCAAACTAGTTTTGTGTTAGGTGGGTAGTGTGTGAGGCTCTAGGTAGGATGTGCAGGAAGCGCATCTTATATGTACTGTCAGTGCCTTCAGGTGTTTGAGGTTTGCAGTTTATGCTAGTTTGCATTCAGCGACCTCGGCGCTATAAGACGCAGACCTCGGCATGAATGTTAATAGCCCCCCCAACAAACTTAAGCTGGCAGCCCCTAAACCGGAATCCGTATGCCATTATGCCATAAACCCTACAGTCCCCCTTAAGTAGATAGAATATGGCTTTGGTATATTATAATAAGATCCCCTCATATACCCCATATTCTACCTACTCAACCGGGACCATAAGCCTTAACCCAACAACATCTCCATCAACTTCTGTGGGGTTACTCTCCGGGTTCTAGCAGGTCTGGTTGTACAGTGGATGGACTGTCCTGATTGCCATAATTCCTGGGCCTTCAAGGTCTATAGGACCAGGCAAGACAAAGTCCATCAACCCTATGCATGTTTTTTGTTCCTGACCTTCTGCCTTTAGTTAAATGGCCACGGCTGCTTTGTGCTAGGCCCCCTAAACCCTAAACCCCGAAGCCGAGTCCTCTGTTAACGCCAATGGATCTTCAGCTGGATCGCCTCGTAGCCAACGAGACGCCCTGCACCTAAACCCTACCTGCCTGTGGATGTAACTTTTGCTCATCTTTTTGATATACACACAGATATATGACCCCAAACTCCTACAACCTTATAAGCCCTTGAGCCCTAGACCCTACCCCACTGATCACTGATTACAGTGAGTTGTGCAACAGTTCCTCCATCCACCGTACGGCTCATATCTTCCTGCATAGCATACGAAAATCGCTAACCAAAAAAGCAATCTCCAAAAGGATGTACACAAGAGCCTCTAGGGTAGATAGACCCCTAAATGGACCTGAAATAACTTTACCCGTGCCTAACTACCATGGAAAGCCCCACCAAAAGCCTTGTAAAGACCAATGTCCTTCTAAAGGGGGCGTTGTGGTCCTCCACTAGTTGAGTTTGGGGAGCCTAAGCCCAAATCCTTTATCCAAAGCCCGGAACCCCAACCCCTAAACTCTAAACCCCAACCCTTACGCCCTAAACCCTAACCCCTAAACCCCATGCATTATTAGATCTCCATATGTGCCTTTTTTTGAACCACATGGGAGGCCCTGAGACCACAGTGAGGATCTTAGCTAACCTCGAGCCGCGAGGTCCCACTTGTTCAAACAATGTTAAGAAGAACATTTATGGCTTCGGGATTAGGAGTTTAGGGTTTGGGGAGCTGTCATGCAACTATAGCAGGCTCCAGGCTATGGTTGTTGGGGCTACAACGGTGACCGACATCCCGCTAAGACACAGTTACCTCTTTGGGGTGTATCCTGGGGTCATGTTCTCTCAGGAACGGCGGTTGAAGAGGGTTTAGGGTTGAGGGTTTGGGTGGCAGGGTATAGTCCTCTGCTGAAGTATCTTCTTCACTCTTTTACCATCGGGAGACTCCTTTTTCGAGATGTTTCAAAGGTTGCCAACCTGCTTCGCCAAGAGCCCGACTACCCCTTAATTAACATCGCTATCTGATGAGATGATGCCAAACTGCAGGCTGTTGAATGTAAAGATCTAGATTTTCGTGTATTCCTTCAGGCCCTTACTTGAACAGCATCATATCACCCTTCCGCTGATGAAGACTGGTCTCACTGTACTGATATGCTTTAGAGAATATCTGAGCGTCTCAAGGATGTTCCATATGCAACCGACCTTTATCATCCCCATGTACTCATACTCCACACGTATAGATTTCTGAGTTATCAGGATGCGGGTTGAGGGTTTAGGGTTGAGGGTTAGGAATCACGGGGTCACCCCCCATGGCGAGCGAACCCCCGTCTTATGTACACAACACAAAGAATGCCAGCCCTAAACCGTAAGCCCTAAACCGTTAATTGCCTGAGCTTTAGGTCAGGCCAAAGTGCAGACAATCAACCTTAGATGGTTGCTATGTGGCTTGCAGGGCTTCAGTTAGGGTACTGCATTTAGACTTTGGAGTTTGCAGGTTCAGAAGGTTTGGGTTTCTAGGTTTTAGGGTGCATAGGGTTCCTTGCTTAGGGATGTTGGCTGAGGTTTGAGGCTTGCTTTATGCCACAACCTTGAACCCGGCCCGCAATTCCCGCAGGGCTCTTTGGGCGCAACCGCTGGTGCGTGCCGCCTTGCTGTTGCTTGTTTCGTCTTAGGCAAGATCTGTGGAAGTGAACCCTAAACCCTAAACCTTGGGTACTGCCCCCATCCAGTAACAGTCTATACTAGGGCTCCTATTAAGGGCTATATATAACCATATTATACTTATTATCCAACTGTTACTGAGTGGGGGCAGTATCCAACCTAAACCTCTTTTGGAGGTCGTGAGCTCCCGTTATTGGTAAAACGCTGAGTCATAAGTATGATGCTAGTGCACTTGAATTTTCCTCGGTGTAGGATGTTAGTGTACCCGGAGCCCTAAACTCTGGACCCTATGTAAATATGCTTACATGGTAGGTCCCAAAATGGATAATCCTTATTGTAGGATCCCCCAAAACAGTACCACTCGACTAATTAACTAATTTTTGGAAACTCCCCATACATAGCTCAACCCTAGGCCTAAACCCTAGACCGTAGACCCTAGACGTAAACCCTAAACCGCCATCCTCTTTGAAGATTTACCGTACAGATTTGGACACAACTTGCCATGCCTAGGACTCCATTTCTTAACTGGTGATTAGGATATAGGCCTTAAACCCTCAACCTTAAACGCTTTAGGGCTTAAGAATTCCTAAACCCAACCAAGAGCTTGTCAAAACAGGGGTTTCGGTTTTGGGTTTACGCGAGTTCAAAACAGCGACCTCCCTTGTATTATAAACGCCATCGCGCACCCGCTTGGGCTGTTGGGGTGCACACAGAAAGCACTCACAGAGCCATAGAGCATCTGGTGGGGATGTAAAGGGGGGCAGGGTGGGCGGGGCTCCGTCCCCCTAGTAGGTTTGGGTTTAGGGCGCTAGGATGTGTAGGGTAGAAGCCTTTAGAATTGAATAGCTACCGATACTATAGTTCCAAATTTCGTGGTAGAATTCCCCAAGTGTACCTCGAAGAGGTCTCAACATGATCTTGGTAGTTACATTATGGGGACGTGTAGTGCTTAGAGTCTGTGTCCCTATTTTCCGCGCTTGAGTCTACATATCTTGGAGGGCCAAGTAGAAGGTTCACTAAAGTTCCCGTTCCCACAGTGGATGCCTTGAATTTGCAGAACTTAAGGCAACTCAGCCGCAGCAATCTCAAAGCATACTGGGTACATACGAATCCTGATTTACCTCTAAAACCCTTGACCCTAAACCCTTAACCCTAAACCCTTAACCCTAACCCCTAACCCCTAAATCCCAAACCCTAGATTCAAAGCCCTGCTGAGAAGCAAATGCGTGGGCATAAGGCTGTGCTGTGGCTCTGCTCCCATGCGCATTCCGAGACGGTACAGCCGTATTTGACGATAGAACGTTCCTCCGTCGCGCTTCAGCAAACTTTCTTTCAAGGTAATGTAGGGTCTAAAGTCTAATCAATCACCCATATCATGTTGAGGTCTATTTCAGGTGGCGTATGCAATAATTCTACAGAGAATCTAGAACCACCATATTGGCTTTGATTTAGGCCCCTACATTACTTAAGTTGCCGCCGCCACAAGTAGGGCTTAGCTATCCCCCAATCCCTATGCCCTAAATGGTGGTTTCCCAAAATAGGGGGACCCCAATATAGACCCCAACATACTACAGTCCTTTTTCTGGGGACCCCCAAGATGGTACCCCTAATTTTTCTCCAAGCCGGCAGCATGTTAAGCACAACGTGGAATGAAGCCTTTCAGGATTTCGTGTCGCTAGCACTCCGAGTCCTATTGGGTTTAGGGTTTGGGGGTTTAGGATTCCTACTCCCCTTGCTACTTCGCCTTACTACCACTACTACTAAGCATATTGATACCGCCACTACTATTGTTACTGTATCTCTACTGCAGTTGCTACTCTGAGGTTCCGGACTACTTATAACTGGGCTTATAACCCCTACCTTATAACGCTGTTCTAAGTATGCACTAACTCCCATGAACCTTTAAGTACTGTTGCTTGGACCTAGGCTAAGCAAGATGCTGACCTTGATTGAGCAATACTGCAACTTGTTGATGAATGGCAGAGCGCTTAGGGTTCCGGGCTTAGGGTTTGGGGCTTAGGGTTTAGGGCTTCTGGTTTAGGTTAGTACTGTAGTAGTAGCGGAGAACCAAGTGAGAAAAACAAACGGAGCATTTACTGAAATCTGGGAGTATGCGGGGTGTTATGGGGATACTGACCGCGATTGTGGCCTAGATTCCTTGTACAATCAGAGTATAGCCCTAAGGGTCCAAGTACCTAATTTCCCCTAAACCTATACTACATTTTAATTAACCAAATCCCAAGTACTAATTGTTGTGTACTTGGACCCTTAGGGTAGGGTACCTCAAACAAACTTCGACATGATCTCGCTGATGAGTCGTCCGCTGTAGTAAGGTTTCGCAGTTGGAGTATATTTTTTAGGGAAGACTTGAAGGTTCACGAGTTGCTTAAACTGGAAGTATATGTCCCAAAATAGATTCGAGCTCCGAGACATAGCTGAGCATGAACCTTTGCAGGGCCTCTCTATTTCATGCAACGTGCTGATAACTTCTGCTAGGGTCTTCATGACGTGGAAGGATGAACCTGCAACTGAAGCACTGCATTTCAGCTCTGGTTCCAGGAACGGGGGCGTGTTAGCTAATTTAAGGGGTATAACGGCCATTATTTGGGGTACTTGGGACTTCGTGGTGTAGCCCAACCCAGCTCGGCAATATAATAGGTGTCGGCTTTTTTTCCATGCCCTCATTTTTCAGTGAATGCCAGTAACAAAAGTGCAGATACCTAAACCGTTCTTTGACTTGGAAAGCTTGACCTTCCAGGATACCCAAGCCCTGAACCAGCAATTACACCATTACACCGGGGCCACGCAGATAGCTGCTTTTCTTGTGCGTGCATGTGTGTTAGCAGGCTTCTGAAGGACCCTTAACAGGGAGCCCTGTAGGTTATGGGGGTGATATGGGGACTACATGGACAAAAGGGGGGGGCACGGAAGTCCTAAACCCTAAGCCCTAAACCTTGAACCCTAAACCCTAAACCCTAAACCCATAACCCTACACAAGGAACCCTAAACCCTAAACCTTAAACCCTAAACCCCTAACCCTACACAAGGAACCCTA